TAGAACTGCTGTGGAAGGGGTGTTGGTGCTCAGCAGTCGCTCACCTACTCCACTGCAGTCTGTTTTTCTGACCATGTTGCCGTACACGTTTTGATCATATTTACCAGGCATTCTGCTAGTAAGGATGATGATCTCTGCTCAGAGTTATTGCAGAGATTAATGGGACTGAATGCGTGTGTACACACACACACACATATGTACTCTGCTCTCTATCAAGAGCCCTGGGAATAGGTCAGGCTGCAAATAAGCTTGGGAACCTGGCTTTGATCTTGTAAACATCATCATCGCAAAACAAATGAAATACAAACTTGCCTTGGTGACACTCTGACACCTTCTCGAGACACAGTTGGGTTGAGAAACCTCAGATTAAATGACATCTGAACATGTCATTAACTGTTGTTAATATGTATCATCATTCAGGATGAATTATGCATGAAATCTGTTTTATTGCAGTGACAGCTGACGAACTCTGGAAAGGAGTTTTGGCAGAGACTACGAGTGGAAGGAAAGGAAGAGGGAAGAGGACCAAGAAAAAGCTGAAAAGGGATCTTAACAGAGGCCAGACAATTGGCGAAGGTAAATGAATGAAATGGGAGAAAGTTCAGGAAATGCTTTCTTTGTAGAATGTATAGTGATGATCTCACTGCTAGCAGTCTTGCTTACCATCTTTTCCTAAGTCTTGAGTCCAGTGGCACCTATAAAACCAACAAAGGTTTATTTAAGGTATGGTCTTTCATGTGCTTGTTCTCCCTTTTTAGTTCCAGAAGAATGTGTACCCTGTACTTCTCACCTTATAACTCTGCAACCAAAAGGGCTCAAGACTTTCATTAAAATGAAAGCTGAGAACTAGTACATTGTTGCATTGTTATAGCAATGTAGCTATTACTAACTTTTTGAAAGCCCCCCAAAACCCTTGGTGGGGGGATGCCCTCTGCAGGGATGAGGTAAGGAAAATAGTACCAATGCAGGAGAGACCTGAAAAAATGGGCACCTTCCTGATTACATCGTGTCCAAAGGTCCTTTGATTGTGATCTTTCCAAAAAGACCATACTAACCAGATTTGGGAAGGAGCACAGCAAAGCAGGGAACAACATGGAAACAGGATGAAGAGGGGATGACATCATACAATGCTTCTAGAAAGAGAGCTGCTCTAAGGAAGCCTAAGTGGAGCAAATCATCCATGCAAAAACAACCCGGAAGTCTTTGGTCTTGGTACAGCACGCTATAGGAGGGAGGGAAGAATGTGTGAACTTGAAGACTCCCTTGGCTCACTTTCATTGTATGGAACCTCTCAGCCAGAATTCGCCCTGCCACAAGAATGACTAAAAGGAAATACAGTTTCTTTTTCACTGACAGTGTTGGCTTTGTAAAGGTACTCTTAGAGAAGTGGCTGGAGAAATAGGAAGAGCATATGGTAAGGACTGTTTAGGGAAGGCTGGGGGGAGGGAGTCTTATCCAGTGGGATTTGGTAGCCAAAAGAGGCATCAGAAAATAGGTTTCCAACATAGGACTGGTGTGGATGGAAAAGCCACCATGTTTTGACACATGATGGAACTGTTTTCTTCACAATTACAAATTGTACAGTTTTGGATTCTTTTGTTCTTAAAGTAGGCGGAGTGGGATTTGGTAGCCAAAACAGGCATCAGAAAATAGGTTTCCAACATAGGACTGGTGTGGATGGAAAAGCCACCATATTTTGACACATGATGGAACTGTTCACAATTACAAACTGTACAATTTTGGATTCTTTTGTTCTTAAAGTAGGCAAGTTTCTACTATCGCAAGTTTAGTCTTCCTAAATTGTCTTGAAGATTGTTATAACTGTTTCCTCCATGAAATAAAGAGCCAGAATAAGTTAGTTCAAATATTGATGCATGCAATTTTTTATGATGACATGATATTATTTTGTTGTAACAAGCATATTGACTTGAAAGTAGATTTGAATGATTTCAGTAGAACTTGCTTTGGTGTAAATGCACAGTGATATTGGGTGCCCATTTTTAGTGATATTGGCCCTGGCTTCAACGTGTTGGAACTCTCTGCAAAATAACATCAGGGCCCTGTGGGACTTAATGCAATTCCGCAGGGCCTGTAAGGCAGAGATGTTCTGCCAGGCATTTGGTTGATGACAGCAACAGTTAACATCATGGCTGGCACCCTACCTGGACCCTTGTTCCTTTTAGAACTTATTCCCCCCTGAACATGTGAAGCACTCATATACCAGATGTATCAGGGAGCTACAACATTTCGCCACTTGCTTTTAATTATTGTATGTTGTTGGACTTGTTTTTTATGCTTTTAGAACTCTTGTGCATCGCCTAGAGCCCCACAATTGTGGCGATAGGTGATTAATAAATGGAAATAAAATAAATGTCACTGTTTCTAGAAAATGCACTGTTCCATAAAATGTACTGATAAGGTAGTGAACAGGTGCATACCAGTCCAGCTGGGCAGTGTCAGGTTTGTATTACAAATGGCATCCACATGGGCTGCGGAAATAGGCTCCTGCCACAGGAATGGCATCCACACACACACACATCATTCCCACACTGTTAGCTGCTGCTGCCCCAAATCCTCTTATCCCTATCTCATCTGCACAAAAGCATAGGTGTGGCACCAATTTCTCCCGGAGCCCCTGCAGCCAAGGAACCCCTTCCTTTCCCATCCCGTTCCCTGTCCAGCCGCACTGTAAAGCTACAGCAGTTTGCTTGGCATGAAAATGGGGACAAGCCCCTCAAAGAACTTGGCAAGGTTGGGTGCTCCATGCCATTTTGAAAGACTTCACTCCCAATAGTGGCAACAGAGAGTGTCCACATGAACACTCCCCTGCAGCTACTCTAAAAAATCCCATTTGAGCCAGATTAAAGCAGGTTTATTTTTAATCCATTTTAAAGGAGAAAGCCCCAGAAGCACCATGAGTCATGCTCAGAATGAACATTTGTGTCAGTTGGACATTCCCTTGATTTCCATGCAGAAGAAAAATCTCTGTGTGGAAGCATCCAAAGTAGTCATGTATGCTCTAGAAGCAATATCAACAGTGCGATCCTAAGAACGCTTTGCTCAGAGTAAGCCCCATTGAATAGATGTGAGTCACGATTCTGAGTAAACCTGCTCTCTAAATGTGCATTTCTGAATTTTTGGTTCCTTATCTGCTACTTTTGGCTGTCAAGAGAAAGTTTTGAGATATTTATACAACATGTAAAATTAGCATTGCATCTTTAAAAAAAAACCAAACACCTGAAGACAAGTCAAATAGACACGCTAGATTAGGTTCAAAGCAATTTGCATTGGGAAATTTTCCGGAAATTTTTTCAGTTCTAAATGTTGCAGATAACCCACATTGCTGAATATGCTTGATACTGAACATGTTTCATTAACTATCGGATCCCATGTTCTGCTTCAGCTAGGGCAGAGTATGCTAAAGAAGCATACAGTCACTCAGTCAGAGCCAGGCAGCCTGCCCTGCTTGCCTTTAGTTAAAGCCTCTGGCTGTTTCCCCAGGGCTCTGTGCACCAGGACGAGTCGTACCCCTCTGATGGTGGCTTCTGTCTGCATAGTCTTGCCCATCCTGAGCTTTGTGCTTTGTCAGACTAGAGGGAGATGGAATATTGGGAATGATCGCCATGGACATTCTTCAGCTAAGTTTCACCTTATTTTTTTTCTGAGATTTAACCTCAGGATGTCCATTGGACTGCTTCAGCCTGATCACCATTTCAACTGTACTCTAAATTGCATCATACCTGACTGGCATTCTCATGTTCTCGTGTCTTCAGGACGTTCAGGTTTCCTTTGGCCTGGCCTCAATGCTCCTGTGCTAAAAGGTGGAACAATCCAGACAATTGGACGGCGAGGTGAAGAAGAGCGGGAGAAGATGCAGTTGGAAATCATCCGTCAGCGGGATGAGTGGGCGAAGAGGAAAAAAACGAAGGTGAAGAAGGAGAGGGGATGGACTGGACGTTCCTGGGGAGGTGTCAGCCTAGGGCCTCCTGACCCGGGTCCTAATGGAGGTAAGATAACTGGGAAAAGGAGTCCTTGGTTTCACAAAGATATTTAATGTAGGGTTAATATGAACATAGGAAGCTGCTGTATAATAACTTGGATCACTGTTCCATTTATCTCCATTTTATCTGCTCTGGCTGGCAGTGAGTCACAAAGGAACAAGGTCTTAACTCAGCACGGTAATCTGCAGATGCTAGGAACTGACCCCTGGGACTTATCTGCACGTAAAAATGAGCTCTACCACTAAGCTACCATCCTCTTGGTTCACAGAAGGCATTCCCATTGTTTTAAGAGCAGTGTGTGTAACGTGGCAGGCTGCTGCTGTGTTTAACATCGCCTGTGAGTTTGCCATTGTATCACACCGGCCCCCAGAATGCTTTCCTTGCAGTGTTTGCCACATCTGTTATGATCCCAGCAACTTGAGAGAGCAAAATTTCACCCCCTTCAGTGTCGGGTTTGCAATTCTTCCCACTTGGAGTGTAAATGATATGACCGTGAGGGCTCTTTCCCCAGCATTCAGAAGCCCGTGAAAACTGTTGCCTGGAAGGAGTTGCCTGCCCTTTGCACTAAAGGCTGTCCTTGTGGCTGCTGTACATGTGCTAGGCCTGGCCTGGCCTACAGTACCAGGGGAGGGAAATGAAAGTCTAGTTGACCCCCACAGTATTTTTCTGGAAGAGCGCAGGATCTCATGAGTCCTGTATCTACTGTATTATCGGAGGGCCCAGAGTTAGGTACTTTCATGGCTGGCCTTTGCTCTGTCTGCCTCCGAGGCTCTTAGTTCCTGACTCTCTGCCTTCCTGCCACCAAGTGTTACCTTGCTTTCAGCATGCCAGTGTTTGCCAAAAGCAGCAATCCATAATAAAGCCATAATTAATGTTGCATAAGTCCACCGTACTTGGGAGTGGAGGTATTAAAGTTCACAATTCTTAAACTGGGAAGAACAGAGCCGCCGCCACCACCCCCACCACCCCACACACACACTCAGCTGTGCCTCATGATTGCTTTGCAGTGATGGACTAGCCAAATACTGAATGTTCTTAATGTTTTTGGTTTCATACAATACAGACTGTTTCCTTAAGCTTTGAGAAATGCTGCAATAGATGGCATATGACTGACTGCCAAGGTATTTTTTTCCCTTCCTGGCAGCCCATTAAACTGTGATGCAGAGCAAGAAGGGCTGTTATGCTGAGGTGCTCTGACTGATTTCAAACATTTTTATGTTCTGTTCCCCCCGTAGCTGCACAGAAACATACAGCATTAAATAAGTGTCATGCTTGTTTGCAGTGATTCAGACAAAGAATCAAACAGTTCAGATATTTTGTCATTCAAATGATTCCATTCTAAAATATACTCTATTATTGTATAGACAAGTGAGCCATTTATAGCCTGGCTGCTCCTGTTAGTGCTGAAAGATTCTCTGATCTATGCATGATTGCTCAGCCAGCTCGCAGTATGCGGGCATGCAAGAAGTCAGATGAAAATTTAGCCCAAAGCTTCCTCTTCTGTACATAATCTGGTGCACCATCTAATCGCTGCCCATTTTAAAGCATTTTAAACCTTTTCTGGGGAAAGAAAGAAGCAAAAGATCAGTATCTGCATTTGGAGTGGCCTTTGTACTTCTCTTTGGGTTTCACCTCTTCCTTTCTTCTATTGTCCCTGCTCTCTGTCTTCCCTGCTACCACTATTTGAAATTTACATTAGAAGGTCTTTGGATAGGGGCTTGTCTTTGTTTGGGGGGTTATGTAATTTTTGGGCATTTGGTTTTTGTTGTTAAGAACATAAGAGAAGCCAATGTTGGATCCGACCAATGGCTCATCCAATCTAACCCTCTCCCAGACAGTGGCCAAAAATACCAGGTGCCATCAGGAGGTCCATCACTGGGGCCAGGACACTAGAAGCCCTCCCACCGTTGCCCCCCCCCCCCCAGCACCAAGACTACAGAGCATCACTTGCCCCAGACTGAGAGTTCCTATCTATACCCTGTGGCTAATAGCCACTGATGGCCTTCTGCTCCATATGTTTATCTAATTCCCTCTTGAAGCTGTCTATGCTTGTAGCCACCGCCACCTCCTGTGGCAGTGAATTCCATGTGTTAATCATTCTTTGGGTGAAGAAGTACTTCCTTTTATCCGTTCTAACCCGACTGCTCAGCAATTTCATTGAGTGCCCACGAGTTCTTGTATTGTGAGAAAGGGAGAAAAGTACTTCTTTATTCTTTATTCTGAATCAGAGGAATGGATGTTGGAGAGAGACCCATATTTTGGTCTCTGCTGAACAGCTGCAAAATTGTGGGTAGGATCTGATTTGAAGAGGAGAAACTGTGTGGGGGGGTTACTTTAAGCCCTTACCTGCCCATTGCTTTTCAGCTTCAAGTGTTTATTTGCTGTGTTAGAAAAAGGAGGAGCCAGGCAGTGGGGTTACGCCACCCACCCTTTTCCTTCAGACTATGCCCCCAACACACACACTGCCACTTTACAGTAGTTTGACAGAGACTCAGGTTCCCAGGTCTACACAAAGATGACTTTCTGGCAAAGAAAGCTTTCTTTTTTCTTGCTGCTAGAAAATTGCCATTTGGATGATAAAACGTACCCTGATCTTAGCGCAGGGATAGGTGACATTAGGGCTCTCTGCCAGCTGAGGCGAGTTGCATGCAGCACCCTTTGCTGTAGCACTGCTGAGCAAGTCACACAACAATGGCCACCTGCCTGCCCAGCCTGGGCAAGTTTCATGGCAATGCTGCTGCATGGAGCGCCTAGCAGGGTAGGTGAGGTAGGGGCACAGCTCACCCAGTGCCCACACTCCCTCCTTATATAGAAACAGTTTGGTTATGCCTGCAGTCCCTCTTTCATCATGCCGAGAGGTTGTTTGGTTAGGACTGAATGCATTATGTGTTTGGACTACAAATAAGTGAAATTACAAGTTGTGAATCTGTGGGTGGTGGGCATCTACTATAAATAGGTACTGTATCTATACAGCTGTCACAAGTAAGGTGGTATTATCTGGGGGGGGGCTTCAAGTCACCTCTCCTTCTTTGGTACCAGTGCAGAGATGTTCACGTGATTATTAAATTTTCATAACATTTCACAATATTTATATTTCAGAGAAGATGGAGGATGTTTTCAAGTTTAGTGCTGAATCCATTTAAGTTCTCTTGGTTATGGTTTAAGTTCTGTGGGTTAAAGTATTTCCAGGGTTTTTTTAAGGTATTCTCAGGACTCCGATTGCAAACGTAGAATCCTTCCTAAGCCCTCCTGATTTCTAGGGAATTAATTTTCGTACTGATATACTTAGAATCCTGGCATAAGGCAAATTTTAAAATGATGCAGCCCCATGGAAAGCACATTTCTGTAGGTTTTTCACGTGGCCTCGCTCTCACAGCAGTAGAACACTAGCAGCACACTCACCAGATAGTCGGCAGATCTTGCTGAGGCTTCATGTGAGTAGCTCGGCACATGTAGAAAAGCATCGCTTAAACGAAAGAGCAGCTGCATGGAACCCCTGTAAAGGTACATGTTCTCCATGCACCTGCTTCCTGTTTTGACTGGGCTCAAATGAGGCAAACCTTTTGTTTATTTGAGGATCTGTATGCCACCTCTCAGTAAGAGCTCCTGAAAGCAGCTCACAACAGTATTACAAAACAATAACCAGTAACAGACTCAGTCAGCAATCAAAAGACACAGAAGTGAAGTAGCGACCAACTTTAAAGCAGCACAGAGGGTTGACTGCAGAAGTTCTGTACATAAAAAACTGAGTTGAAATTGTTGTAGGTGGGCCAGGCAGTGACTGTGAAATTATAAGGTATAAAATCCATAACAGGATACTGAAATAGCCCACTAAAAGGTGGGGGAGCCTTAGTGAAAAGCCTGAGCAAATAGGTGTTGGGTGCACCTAGAATGCTTTCAGGTGAGAAGGTACATACCTGAGTTGTGCCTCCCTGATGCATCTCTTTTTATCCCACAGAAACATATGAAGACTTTGACTCCAGAGTGATTGAGGTGAGTGTTGCAAAAACTCTCCTGGGATGTCAAGTGTCAAAGGCAATGCTCAGCATCCGCCCCTTGGGACCAAGAGAAATCTGAAAGAGGCTTGCATTTCAACTGTGCAGTGAAATGGGCTCTGGTTTGAATTGCGACATTGTTTTCCCCACTGTGAAGGAGTGTCTGATTCCGATGGAACTGTGGATGAGGTTGAAAGGCAAAACTCATCCAGTGTTTGGGGTTTTTTAAGTTAAAAGATTTACTTTAGAAAACATTTATGTCAGTGTAGCCAAAGACATGAAGTATTTTATTGGCTTTACCTCTTTGAAAGGGATAGAGAAGAGAGAGCGCAATAAGAGTTAATTTCCTAAGCGCTTTTAATAATTTCTTCTATCTCAGTAACAAAGTTCTGCTTCTGAAGAATTTTGTCCCTCTCCCTGCTCTGCAGAAGACAGTTGGGAGGTGATTAAGCAGTTCTTCGTCTCGATACCTTTGTGCCAGGTTGTCATGGCTGTTTTGCATCTGCTTTGTGTGCTGAAGGCCCAAGGCTGCAGCCATGGCACATCCAGTTGTTCAGGGATCCCAGGTAACAGATGCTGAGAAAGGACCTAAGTACCTTTCTCAGTCTGTCACCCTGGAGAACTGCTGCTAGACACGGCATGGAAGACTGAACTTGACAAACCAGTAGTCTGACTTGATATAAAATAGCTTCATCTGTCTCACCTGTCTGTTGCAGTTTTTCCTATGGAGCCCTGTAAGATAGGAATACAGTCTCTTCCATTTGACACATTTGTGAAATCTCTAGCTTGAGTTTCCCCTGAAGAGCTTATCTTTTGGCATTCCGAGTCTGTCCTCGATCCCTCTCACTTTTCTCTTCACACGAATTTTCTGCGTCCCCAGAGCTTGCAGCCTCTTTGAGCTTTTCACTCTGTCATTGTTCTTCATAGCACAATTTTTTTTCTTTATAGGCCATGGCTTTCTTAAACTAGCAATTTTACGAAAACAGAGGTCCTTTTCTAAAGTTTACATCTCACCCTAAAGGCGCCAAAGGAATACTGGCCTCCTTTTTTGTGACAGTTGACTAGCTTCTTTGAACCCTGGTCACACCCACACACTTTTCCCTCTTGGTGTTCTCCTCTCCCCCTCCCTAGAAAAAAATTGAGGGGGGGTGTTGAGGGGGGGAAATGGAGGGATGGGGAATAGTTGAAATATTGTCAATACTTAATGCCTTATCTTACTCCTTTAGGAACGTCAAAGGTATTATGTATCACTCAGAACATAAAATCTCATTTTTTATATTTACAAATTTTTAGAAGTATAAAAACCCCTTCAAGCAGCAGTTGCAAATATATTCTGTGGCTTATTTCAGATACTGTGCAAAACTATGGTTTAGTGAACCTAATTATAGTTAGTGTGATACTTTGGTGGTGCCCTCCCAGGCAACACAGAGAGGGAAATGAAAACAGTATCAAGCCAGGATTTGAATGACTGTGAGCTTGAATCCTGGTTTCAAAAATTAACTGTGGTTAGTATCAACTATGGTTTTTGCATCATATCAGAACTGAGCCAGTGCTAGAACAGCAAGCTTCAGCACCCTAATCTCCTTTAAGTATGTCTCAGTTCTTGTCAGCTGCTGAAAACAGAGTTGAAAATAGAATCCATCAACACTGTATTAAACAAAAGAAGTGTTTATTTTCTGGACTTCACAATAATCTCCTCTCCAGATGCTCAGCATTATTCAGAAACAGATTAAACTCATACTGTGAGAAAACACAGATATATTTTTTAAAAAATCTCTGTAACTAAAACAATCATTTTCAACAGAGTCAAAAAGGCTTTGAGAGAAGCATTGGGCACCTGTGGTCTACACACCTTTGTTCATTGCATTGTCACCTTACAATATTGCATATTGTCTTGCGCACCTAATTTCCGAGCATTCGGGAGGGAGTGCTAGGCAGCAAAAAACAGGTTCTGATGTTCTTGCGTTCCTTTGTTCTTAAACAGTATTTTAAACCCTTGCCTTAAAAGCATTTCAACACATTCTAAAGGAGAAAATATGTCATAAGAGACCTCTGCAATTTCTCCACTAAAGAAGTCCAGGGGTAAGAATGGAAGGAGGGGAAGCTCTCGCCTCTCCACCAACTGCAGTACCAGCTGTCTTGAGAACAGAGGTAGCTGGCTAACCAAATGTGATAGCTAACAAAGCTATTACCTGGCAACCAGAGGGCAGCAGTGCCAAGCAGGTGGCATGCAACTGAGCCAGCGTGCTGGTTAATTGAGTTGTCTGATTAACTGTGTGCCAGTTAGCAAAACGTTTATGGCATTTCAGTTTCTTTCCAAGCCTTCAAGTCTCAACCCCACAGACTTTCCCTCCTTGCAGGGCTTTGTGTTCATCCTGAGAGTCTGTTGGGCCTGCAGCTGTCTGGGACTCACACCACCTGGCCTCCCTTTGTGTGTTTTGTGCTTTAAGAGACCCAGGTTCATCTTGCCTGTTCATTGGCTTCTTAAAAAATAGTTGGCAGGCTCTATGCTAATGCTGTCAAGATTTAAGAACTTTCATAGGTGAGGTGAAGAAGAAAAAAACTTAAGAGATCAGTCATTATCTCTGCTTGCATGCCAAAGTATAACACGCAGGGCCAGTTTGTAGATTATGCAGAAGCAATCCTATATTTTGCTTGGGACGTTGGTTGCAATTGTCTAACTAGTGCACGCTATATGTAAATATGTTTGCTGTGTTCCTACATTGCATTTTAGATGTAGACATAAACATCTCAGCCATACTCTGAGCATGCAGTGTGTGGCCTGTTACTTGTAGCTGGGTTTTTTTGAGGTAGTGATGATTCTTACTGACTATGTCTCGTAAAAGCCTTTCTGTTTTCTTTTAGTTGTTTCTTTGAAATGCATGTTGGGATTTTATGTTTCTGCCTGTTTGGAATTGTATTCTACACATAATTACCTATGTATTGAAGTGAGTAAACTGCTGATTCCAATATTAGAGCATTTCCAGTGTTAATATCAGCTTGGTTTTATTGTTAGTGGGAGAAGGTAGCGATCCTCACTGAATTTGCTTGATAATGCACTGAATCAAAATTCTGTGAAGGTTATTGAAACAGCATCATTGTTTCCCCAAAGCATTTTTTTAACTATTTGTGGGGAGAGCTGATGCAAGAATCGCAATAGCTTTATTGTTGGATCCTAGAGGTAGTTTGAAACCATACTGAACTGTGTGTTCAACACACCTGGGGAAAATTTTGACTGCATTATACCTGGTTCATGGTTTTTTGATCCTGGTTCATGATCCTGTTTTTTGAGGGTCACGAAACTGCAGAGGAAATCGGGCGAAGCCACGGGTCAAATACATACATACATACACATTCAATTTATATACCGCTCCTTCCCGAGGGCTTGGAGCGGTTTACAGAGACATTTTAAACCTAGCTAGGGCCATAGTGCAAGGGTGTGTGTGTGAAATGCCTACCAGGCACCCAAGCAGCGTTCTTCTCTCTTTTTTGTGTTGTTCTTTCGGCTCTTATTCCACGGTGGGTTCTTTCTATTTCGATGGAGTCGGCGCTGGAGTCTCGGCGAAGTTCTTCCTCCCACAGCGACTCCTTCTGGGTTGATTCCCACGGCACACGGCTATGAGACAGTTGCAGCGCTGGTCTCCGTCCTATTGGCTCCGACCGCACCGCGTCGTCTCGTCGCCGTGTCTCCTGAGCCAATCACCGCCTGAGTCGCTCATCGTCGGTTGCAGCCCCACGGCTTCGGGTGTGAAATTAACCAATAGTATCGGGGCAAACGGCGGTGCAACATCTAGGCAGCTCTAGTGCGAAATCAGCCACTGTGTGGCCGAGCAGAAAAATTACTATATCTCAAGACCAGGACAATAACATTTCTAACCCAGCGTACTTAACTTTCACCATGAAAGCTTTATTTGGGCAGATGTTTGTGCTACTATAAAGTGTACACGTGAAGGATAACCTTGTTTGCCTCAAGTCTAACTAAGATGCTCATGCATACTGCTAATTATGATCAGTACAATTGTCTGAAACAAATACTGTATTAGTACACTGGTCCATTTAGTCCTGTACTGCATACTCTAACTAACAATGGACCTCCAGTGTCTTAACTGCCAGCCCAGCTACCTGAAATCCTTTAACTAGAGATGTCAAGGACTGAGGCCTTCATTGGTGCAAAGTTTACACTCAACCATTGGGTTACGTAGCAGATCTACAGCCTGAGGAGGAGGTGATACGGACCATACATAGAGAAGAAGCACAGACATTAGTGAAACCAAACACAGGATTTTTATCGAAGTTCAAGACTCTGTCGGTGATCATGAGGCCTAGGAAACTTTAGAGATGAATAAGAGCTTCCAAGAGAGTTTGTGATGAGCTAATCCTACATTCTTATAGCTCATAATTTTGGGAAAGCCTCCAGCCAAACAGTGGAAGCAGAGCGTCAAAGATGGTGCTATTTAGAGTTGCTGCTTCTTTAGGAGTGGAGGCTTCAACAGAAAGATAAAAAGAACCAAGGCCAAGAACTTTGTGTTAAGTCCATAATGCCGCAGGCAACTAAACAAGCTACTAATTTTTTTCTAAAGGTTTTAGAACAGCAAAAAACTCACAGCAGTGCTGACCCAGCTACTCAAGAAGATGCTTTATTGCAAATCTGCTTTAGCATTTGAAGTACTTTGAAGTACTTTCAGATCTAATTACCTATGATGGACAATGATATTTCCTTTTTTTTTAAAGTGTGTACTTAAAGCTTTATTGCAGCTTTAAAACTGACATTTATTTGCCATCTTTAAAATGTTTCAATTTGACTCTAGTTTAATTGAGCAAGAACAGGTAATTTTTATAGTATGTTAGCTGTAGACTCTGCTCGCAATCCAGTGAAAGTCGGTTGTACTTAAAGTCCTGGTGAAATTAGTGGAAAGT